GACCAGAAGGACAAGAAGGAGGGAATGTTCTAGGCAAAGGTGTGGAGTGAGAGCACATTCCAGGAACTGACTGCAGTGTGGCTGAAGCATTGCAGAGATAGAGTTGAAAAGATTAGTAAGAGAGACGCCCTTGTGAGCCACTGAATAATTCAGGACTTTTGCCTAAGAGCCACTGCAAGATTTTAAGAGAGAGACAACCAGACATGCATCTCAAAAACACCCAAGGCAGCAACCAACAACAGAGAACGCCAATGGAAGCAAAACAACACAATAGGCTTAAGGGCAATGCACAGATGAAAGAGCCTGCGCTCTAGAAGACCCTTCAAAAACCTTAAGAAATGTTACAAGAAGAGCTCCGGACATTCTAACTGCATGTATTTCCCAAGGGGGAGAGAGAAGTTGTAGTAATGTGGAAAGGGATCTTAGGGCTGAAAAAAATGGAGTTTTAGATGGGAGAGAGGTCAAGTGCATCCCGAGCCATTTGAAAGAGACAGTGGCTGAAAATAAATCTGGAAAGGCGGATTTGGACTATAGGCGCAAGGCTTGGAATCTGAAGAAGAGGGCCTGCCACGGAAAATTTCTCAGCAGATGAGGAGAGAAGAGGGACAGCCACTGTCCCACTGTCACATAGAAAAGGGACAGCCACGGAAAATTTCTCAGGAGATGAATGTGTTCACGTGGTAGCATGATGAATAAATCGAAAGGAGAAAAAACTGGGCCCAGGAGAGGCGGAGGCTTTCAGAATGCTCCAAGTATTTATTGCTAATGTAAACATCAGCTGTGGCGATTAGGAAAACAGACTTGGCTGATGTTATAAAAGAAACCAAGGTGGAGTTGAAACGCCTAAGTCTTCCACGGGGACAACAGGAAGGGTAGGATCAAGGATGACAGAAAGATGATGTGGTGTGGGGAAGAGGGCTACAAATTGCAAATTATAAATGTCACTATCACACACACATTTATTTTCTCTATAGCATTATCACAGCGCAGTCTCTCTCAAAGTGTGACTGACTGGCAGACCAGCACTGATCGACAGCTATCTGTAATCCAAGCAGAACAGACAATGAGGGCAAGCATTTTCTTTTGAGAGGAAGCATTCAGAAACATTCACATAGATAACAGAAAAATCTGATGGGAAGTAATAAATGAATTCAATAAACTTGCAGGATACAAAATTAATATATAGGAATCAGTTGTATTTCTATACGCTAATAATAAAGTAGCAGAAAGAAAAAATTTTTGAATAATTCCACTTAACAATTACACCAAAAAGAATAAAATAGCAAGGAAGAGACTCAACCAAGGAGGTAAAAGACCTGTACTCTGAAAACTATAAAACACTGATGAAAGAAACTGAAGATAACACAAAGAAATGGAAAGACACTGCAAGCTCATGAAATGGAAGAATTAATATTGGTAAAATATCTATGCTGCCCCAAACAACCGACAGAGTCAATGCAACCTCTATCAAAATATCAACAGCATTTTTCATAGAACAAGAACAAATAACATAAAAATTTGTATGGAACTAAAGAAACCCAAACAGCACAGCAATCTTGACAAAGAACGAAACTGGAGGTATCACATTCCCAGATTTCAAGATATACAACAAATCCATAGTAATCAAAGAGTATGATACTGATACAAAAACAGACACACAGACCAATGGAACAGAAGAGAGCCCAGAAAGAAACCCACACTTATACGGTAAATTAATCTGTGAAGAAGGAGGCAAGAATATACAATGGGAAAAAACAGTCTCTTCAACAAATAGTGTTGGGGAAAACTGGACGTGAAAAGGAATGAAACCAAATCACTATCTTACACTGCATACAAAAATAAGTTCAAAATGGATTAAAGACCTTAATGTGAGACATGAAACCATAACACTCCTAGAAGAAAGCACAGGCATTAATCTCCTGGATATCAGTCTTAACAATATTTTTCTAGATGTCTCCTCAGGCAAGGGAAACAAAAGCCAAAATAAAACACTGGGACTATACCAAAATAAAAAGCTTTCAACATAGCAACAAAAACCATCAATAAACAAAAAGGTAAGCTATTGAATAGGAGAAGACAGAAATGATACAGCCAATAAAGCGTTAATATCCAAAATAAAAACATACACAACTCAATAGCAAAAAAAAGCCAAATAGCCCAATTAAGAATGGCAGGGGCCTGAACAGATATTTTTCCAAAGAAGACATACAGATGGCCAAAAATGCTCAACATCACTCATCATCAGGGGAATACAAACCAAAACCCCTATGGTGGGGGAGCCCCTGCGGGGGGCTCAGCGCGTTAAGCGTCCAACTCTGGCTCAGGTCATGATCTCAGTTTGTGGATTTGAGCCTCGCGTAGGGCTCTGTGCTGACAGTGCGGAGCCTGGAGCCTGCTTCGGATTGTGTCTCCTTCTCTCTCTGCCCCTCCCCCGCTCACACTCTGTCTGTCTCCCTTTCTCTCTCTCTCTCAAAAAGTAAACAAACATTAGGGGTGTGTGGGTGGCTCAGTCAGTTAAGAGTCCAACTGTGGCTCAGATCATGATCTCACAGTTTGTGGGTTCGAACCCCACACAGCCTCTCTGCTGACCCCTCAGAACCTGAAGCCTGTTTCAGATTCTGTGTCTCCTTCTCTCTCTGCCCCTCCCCTGCTCACATTCTTTCTCTCTCTCTCTCTCTCACAAACAATAAACATTAAAAAATTTTGTTAATAAATAAATAAACGTTAAAAAAAATCCAAAACCACCATGAGATACCATCTCACACTAGTCAGAATGGCTAGAACTAAAAAGACAAGAAATAACAAGCGTCGGCAAGGATGCAGAGAAAAAGAAACCTCTGTGTACTGTTTGTGGGAATTAACTGGTATAGCCACTGTAGAAAACAGTATGAAGGTTCCTGAAAAAAATTAAAAATAGAAATACTATATGATTCAGGGGCACCTGGGTGGCTCAGCTGTTTGAGTGTCCAACTCTTGATTTTGGCTTAGGTCATGATCTCACAGTTCACAAGACTGCACCGGACACTCCGCTGACAGCATGGAGCCTGCTTAGGATTTTCTCTTTCTCTCTCTCTAAATAAATAAATAAACTTTAAAAAAAAATACTATATGATCCAGTAATTCCACCATTGGCTATTAGCCCAAAGAAAACAAAAACACTAACTTGAAAGATACATGCATCCCTCAGTTTACTACAGCCATTATTTACAATAGCCAAGATATGGAGGTAACCCAAGTGCCCATGGATAGACAAATGGATAAAGATGTCATATACACACACAATGGAATATTACTCAGCCATAAAAAAGAGTGAGATCTTGCCATCTGCAACAACATGGACAGACCTAGAGTATTATGCTTAAAGAAAATAATTTAGACAGAGAAAGACAAATACTACACAATTTCACTTACATGTGGAATTTAAAAAACAAAACAAGCAAACAAAAAGCAAAAAACATCCCCATAAATACAGAGAGCAGATGGCTGCCACGAAAGGTGAGGGGCGGGGGGGGGGTGTGAATGGGTGAAGGGGAGTGATCAGTACCAATTTTCAGCTGTGGAATAAGGAAGTCATGGGGATAAAGGGACAGGAGAGCTAATATAGTCAATAATATTGTAACAGCCTTCCTTGTGAGATGACAGATGGGAGCCACACTTGTGGTGAGCATTGAACATCCACAGCTGTCAAATCACTGTATGCTTTACACCTGAAACCCATGAAAACATTCAAACTCTACTTCAATAAAAACAAATCCAAGACAATGACATATTTCAAAAAATGGAAAAAAAAAAACCCAAAAAACAAAAAACGAAAAGCACAATGACCTGGAAGTCTTGCAGGAAAAGTTTTAATAGTCTTTTTATAATCTTCAAAAAATAATAGTAATAATAAACTTTGTTCTAAAAAAAAAAAAACAACAACAAACTTTTATTGTGTTTGTGGGTTTTTTGTTTTTCTCCCAGTAGGCTTCACACACAGCAAGGAGCCCCAATGCAGGGCTTGAACTCAAGACCCTGAGATCAAGACCTGAGCTGAGATCAAAAGCCAGACAAGAGTTTTTACCTGGTCATTCCACTTTCCTAGTAATTCATTAGTAATCTATTTTACAAAAGTATGTATTTGTCAAAAATTAAAAATTGTAAACAAAACAAAACTGGTCCTTTACAACAAACAGTTTGAAAAACACTATCAGTATTTAGCTGGCACTGAAATCTAGGTAGATAAACTGCATCTTTGTAAATACACATTTTTTTTTAATGTTTATTTATTTTGAGGAGGGGGGAGCACACAAGCAGGGGAAAGGCAGAGAGAGAGGGAGACACAGAATTCAAAGCAGGCTCCAGGCTCTGAGCTGTCAGCATACAGCTCGATGCAGGGCTCAAACTCTCAGACCATGAGATCATGACCTGAGCTGACTGACTGAGCCACCCAGGCGCCCCTACACCCATTTAAAACTAAACATAAATCTGGGGCTTCTGGGTGGCTCAGTTGGTTGAGCATCCGACTTCGGCTCAGGTCATGATCCCACGGTTTGTGAGTTCCAGTCCCATGATGGGCTTTGCCCTGACAGCGAGGAGCGAACTTCAGATTCTGTCTCCCTCTCTCTCTGCCCCTCCTCCTCCCTCTCTCTCAAAAATAAACATTTAAAAAAAAAATTAAAAATAAACACAACTCTGAATATGAACTGGACATTAATGGTTATTTATTTACTGCTAATTTTCTTAGGTGTAATAATACCACTCTGATTTTGGGAGCTACATGCTGATGCATTTAGGTATGAATTACGATGTCTGAAAACTTACTGAATGGCTCAGCAACAGAAAAAGACTTACAGCAGGTATTTCAAACACACAGAGCTAAAGTAAACACAGCTAAATGTCAACAATGGTTGAATTTAGGGGGTAGGGTGATAACTATGCGTACTTTCAACTTCTGAATAACATAACGTTGCAAAAATATTTAAATAAGTACCACATAATAAAAGTAAAGTCTTCCATAC